TAACCTACTTTCAACTCAAACTTACTCTGGGCTAATATCAGATCCTGAGAGAAGCGGTGGACCAACACTCACAAAACATAACCAAGCTATCTCAATAGGTTAAGGTTGACACCTTCATCGAATTACTTACCTTCCTCGATTAGTACACTATGCTCAACATCGGTATTGGTCACACAGTGATTCCTCCACATGCAAGCTATCCTACGAATATATCTATGGTCAGGAACTTGTAACTTCTTTCCGTCTTTTTCTTTTAATGGCTGTGTAACGCAATGTTATAACAAGACAGAGAGAATTGTAACGCGGTAAACTCCTCCTTTGGCAGGTAGTCATATTCCTCACTGGCACGATAAGTGTAACAATTCATCAAACTTCTAAAGGGCACATCGAAATCACTAGTAATCAGACCTTTTGAGCTGATGCAACTACTTGAATAAGTGAAATGGCCTACATTTTGTAGCACTCCCCTCAGTATCTTTAAATTAGGAATCGGTATAGATCACTCCTGAAGCATTTTCTTATATCCATTAGGTGCAAAACGCGTGCCACACATTCTCAAATTTTCTCCCAGTGTTCAGGAGAGTCTGTATATTGTCAGCGTCTTAACTCAGCAGGAATATGTCGTCTATGTATTCATTCTAAGTTAGACAGTTACTCCTTTCAGAGAGTAAGCCTTTCACTGAGAAGTTGAAAGTACTCACGGTTATATCCATCAGCACATCTATAACAAAGGATTATCAATATCATATCTCTACATATGGTAAAAAGATAAATGTAAGAAGCAGGTTTGAATCTGTACTATTCAGCCTATACATGACTTTTATTGGTAAATTCACTCAAGAAAGCATTTATTATGAAAAACGAGGATTCAGATTTCTGCAATTTTAAGTTAAAATGCATAATTTATTAAAAACTGAACTACCAAAGCGCATTTTTTGTAAAAAAGAAAAGCGAGTAACAGGGAAGAAAACAGCCAGTCAAATAATCGTATAGTATTCTTGAAAATTATTGCATGGTAAGAAAAAATAATCTGAATAGAGAAGGCAAGAGAGGAAACTAAAAATGCAAGAAAGCAATATGCAATTTGCTTGGAATCGACTTAGTCAAGCTGAAAGTTAATATGAAAAGAAAAATTTGGCCATGAGTACAGAGTGATAAAGTACCACTTACTTACTGGATGATGTTTCTAGTATCATGATTAGGTTATATCAAATAAACCAATCTAATATCAAGTTAAAAATACAATATTTTACATGAGAAGAATGAAGAACAGTAAACAAATGTGATTTTTTAAAACTAGAAAATCACCATTCTACAATTGGAAAACCGAATAAATGTGTTTAGTGTTTTTGAACATACACATCAGATCACCAGTAGAGAGTGGAGTAGAGATAGAGGAGATATCAGCAGCTCATCTGTGAATATCTGACTACTCCTAGTATAGCGTTCAAAGTAACTTACATTGTTTATCAATACACTTCTAAAGGACTTTATAGATGCATCATTTATACGCAACCAAACCGTTGACGAGTGATAACTTTTAACCTGATAGCTGTGCTCAAAAACATTACGCACACTCCTTAGGCTTATCATAGTTAAAAAAGTAATTTCCTGAGAAGTGAAAATATCACTATTTTATTGAGATATGTGGTTAAAATTTAACTTGTGGCATGTTACAAACAAGTGACTTTCAAATTCAAATCGTACTATGATCAAGTGCTTCACCATTATCCCATTAATAAACACCACATTCATACATAAAGCTATCTGCGGTAGTTGGAGTCATAGATAGTGCTGTCTAATCACATGAAAATACTTCTAGTCTACGAAAATTCGATCCAAAAGGCTGAAAATTTCGTTATTTTCAATTACAGAGGTCAACGAAGTTTGAACGCCAATGAAAATCCAAAACTGACTTGCCAAACTCTCTCCATTGTCGCCTTTCTTATTTAACTTCTTCACAGACATAACATTAGGTACGTCTGACGTCACAGGGATTCATCTACTCCCTGGGGGCCATCTAGTTGACTTAGAATATGCAGATAGTATTGTTCTGTTAGGTCAAGATGCTGACAAAATGTAGGGTCTTCTGAATGCGTTGAGCAGAAATCTGAGTATGTTTGGCATTCGTTTCGCCATCACCTATTCAATGTAAGATGATGCTACAGGACTGGTGTGCTGCAAGTACTCGCAGCTTAATGATAGGGGGTGAAGTGATAAAATGTGTCCACCACTTCAGTTACTTAGGGAGTAACATCAACCCTAACTGGTTGGTGGCTGACGAAATCTCATCTCGGATACAGAAGACCCGCTTAGCACTTGACAAATTACGTCACCTGTGGCGTCGGGGAGACATTCCAGTATGTACCAGAGAACGAGTATACTACCCTGAAGTACCTTCTGTCTTGTTAAACGTCAGCCAGACATTGTCGTTAAAAGGGGAAGACATGGAATGGTTCCACGGTTTCCATCAGGAGTGTCTTCGTAGCACTGCCCACGTGTGGTGGAATTACTATCGGAGCAAGACAGACAAGTCGATTGACGGGGTTGTGAACCTTAGTCGACTGAGATAGCTTGATCATGTACTGCGCATCCCACCGCGAGTCACCGACCACCTCGACATGCCATGCTAGGGGAAGTTGGACTGGGTTGGAAGAGGGCTCAGGGCAGCCAGACCATGAAGTCCCTGACTGTTGGCCTGAGTCGTGTGGAGATGACGTAGACTAGGTGGCTGGAGTCCCTGAGAAGAAAGGAATCAGTAGTTGAGAATTTTTGGTGACATGGGCGAAAATCAGTCACAGTGGTACAGATCTATTCACTCCTTTGCATTTCCTAAAGCTTGAATATTCATATAAACCTTTATCTTCAAATTATTTATTGTCACACAACTTTACCTACTTTGATATCATTCCTTTTTATCCACCTGCACTTTGTAAACTTCTGTGAAGTGTGGAAACTTGAAACGATGTTGATTTTCGCTGCGTCTGTCTCACTTGACGATTTTGAATGGGAAGAGCTGTTGCGTGTTCATTTCCTTTATGCTTTGTCTTACTTCTTGCCTTCAAGTGGCTAGACTATGAATCAGATGTTCGGGGTTCTCAAGTTCTTTTTGTGTATTCGCTCCTGTTTGGTGTAACGTATCTTTCGCTTGACTTTGAGTCACATCAAATTATTCGCGGTTACTTGAAGGTTATTTTGTCGTTAAGTTAGCATAACAACAGCAGCATCAACAACAAGCACCAATCACCATGAACGGGATAAACCTAAAGGAAGTTGTCTATTTCACCTACACCTACCTAGGCAAGGCAGCATCGTTTCAACTACAGGCGGCACAGACGAGAATGTCATATCCAGGATCGGAAAAGCAAGGCAGGCTTTCATTAATTTGAAATCACTGTGGAGATCTACTGCACTCAGCACAAAGAACAGGATCCGGATTTTCAACACTAATGTCAAGTCACTACTATTATATGGTTCAGAAACTTGGCGCATCACGAAGAGCATTTCCAACGAACTACAGACATTCATCAACAGCTGCCTACGCTGGCTTGATACTGAAGATCAGATGGCTAGAGAGGATAGGCAACAAAGAACTCTGGGAGTGAACCAACCAAGAAACTATCACCCAACAAATATGCAGTGGAAAAAAGTGGAGATGGATTGGGCATACACTGAGAAGGCCGACTGGGGAACATCATGCGCCAGGTCAGGCAGTCGAGTGGAATCCAAAGGGGAAACGACGAGTTGGGCATCCCAGCTGAGGGTGACATGGAGGAGATGATGTGAGGAAGAAATGAAAGCTTTTGAGCAGTCGTGGAGCCGGGTTCAAAAGATTGTAGAGAAGTGAGTCAATGGAGGCGTGTTACTGAAGCCCTATGTTCCACTAGGAACCCAAGGGAAAAAAATAATTATAATAAGTTAGCATAATTAGAATCACCGACAGAAAGTTTTATTTATTCTTTTTAAAAAGTCTTTTACTAATCAATGCTCATAATTTATAATCTTCATTTCAAAAATATAAATCTTCCAGAGCACTGACAAATTCAGTTTCAGCAGATAATATTTAAGCTTTTCATAAACTATGTGGTTCATTACAATGAAACTAGTTATTACTACTTATCGTTGGGGATCAGCGGACAGAAATTCCTCCAGCAAATGACCGATCTAAAGTTTGTGCAAAAAGATCTGTTCTAATCAACAATACGTACATGACATTAAGCGAAAGACTGCATAAAAGTGGTGTTAAGATGGATTGCAATCCCATCTGCTATATGAAGTAACCCAATCCACATGGTAAATTAAATGATAGGCTATGAATAATTTTTATATGCTTTGCTAGTATCAACCTGCTGTTCAGTGATAACTAAGTGTGTGTAAGTATGGAGCTCTTTATTATTGTACTCTGTCCCTTATTCAACCATGATGGGTGGTGCTCAGAGCTTCAACGGTGGACCTGTCTCATTTTGTGCCCAATGTAACTCATAAATGAACATGGAAGTGGTAGTATCAGACAGTTGGTCTTTATTTCTAGAATAAAAAGTCGAGTGGTTGTAGAAGATGAGACACAATTTAGTGGCTGGAAATTTGCTTTGCAGGGCTCTTTTTGATGCCTTGTGTGATGATCTCACTAAAAATTTCACCCTTGAATTCCAGTTTGAACAAGATTTCCCTTTTAGGAACTGTTAGCATTCTTGACTTAACCTTAGTAAGATTGGTAATGCTTAGTTACAAACTTTGTTGGGTAGCCATTCCTACTTAGCATGTCACGGATGGTGGCGAATGTTTCCTCCCTAGTATGACCATAGCATATAGCTGGTTTATATGGCCGGTTTTTCTATAATCTAAAAGTCAAACTACTATGTTCCAGAGGCATAATAGGTACGTATCAATGGTTATTTGATTTTTAAAGTTTTTTTCTTCAAATAATATTTGATTCATGACTGACTAATACTTAAGATTTTCCCCCTTGTTCTATTTTTGATAAAACAAATTTTAAAAAGCACTAGGTGATCATTTATTACATGAAGAAATTACCGAAATGTTCACAAAGAAACTTATGGATAAATTTATTCAAGGTTTACGCATAACGCGTTTATTGAATCGAATAAAAAATCGTCTTCTCATAAATCATGGTTACTTACTACGAAGTATAATTCAACTAATACCAAAGTAAGCAAGTATTATTATCATTATTATGGTTTATATATCATACCTTGTAATTTCACCTTGAACCTGACTTATTGTATACCGTTGGTATATTGACTTATTGTGAGAATGTTTTGATATAGTTAGCAATTTCGTTTTGATAATATTGATGGATAATGACAAATAGTAGAATTCAATACCTGCTTCTCGTTGTATTTTAGACTGGTTAGTTTGATGTACCGTGATGGAGTTGTTATTCCCCTTAAGATAGAATTCAGTACCCACTACTTCCAGTCTCAAATCACGATTCAGTAGGCTACTGGCTTTTGAAGTCAATAAAAACCGGTAAATTCATTAAATCAGTGACAAGACATCAGAAACCTGTACCGACAAAAACATTCTTGTCGTACAATACTTTGATTATTCTGAATATCCAAATACTTATGTTACTGACCGTAAGATTCTGAATTAGGTGAACTAACACCTAGTACGCTAAAGTACCAATTTACAAATCATATTGAAATTAGTCAATCGACTCAATCAATTACCGTAAGTAGCATGATGATTATCTTCTCTCAATCAACCCTCACAAGTCATTTATTGAATTATTATCTAAGGATCATTAGTGACATGCCTCAAGTTGGATCTGCCTGAAGTTCTGATGAAAAGCTGTGACATTAAAAGTCAATGAAGTAGGATGTGATGAAGAACACTCGTCAGTGACATCAAATGATTAGCGCACTACATTGCAAATTGACAGACCTAATAAAATGTGAACTATTCAATTCCAACTCAGTGACTGAAAAACAAGTTGCTCTCCGCGAGAAGTAACAGTTCTACGCCAGAGTCTTTAATTCTACAACTGATGCCAGTTCGTGATAAGTATTACTTGAATAGCTTAAATCTGCAGTTGCCAGTTTTCTTTACTCAGTGAATTAGATGATGATTTCTTTCAAAAGAAAAAATTGAATCTGGTGTTGCGATATCATTAGCTTATCAACAGTTCGGACCTATTTCTTCTTATTTCATAATGGCTATCAGCAGGATTTAGGATTACGATGTCCACACTTATACAAAGCTCTAAGTATTCTAATTATTCATCAACATGGTTTGTAAATTGCACTTAAAAAATTAATCACATCAATAATACAGATTAAGGAAAGGAGACTTTAAACAAGTTCTGCTGACAGCTTATAGTCAGCAACACAACACAGTTATAATAACACTGTTACTGAGAAGAAATTTTAACCACTTCAAATTATTTAGTCATAAAATTTCTTTAAATTCAGCATGCGAATTCTGTCAACTTTTATCATTCGGGCAAAAATGATCTTAAGACTAGTGTTCAATAGCAAAATTCATTCAGTTTCTATTTACTATCAATAGCCGGATGATTAAAAATTCAATGTTTACAATGGTGAATTCATCTTCCACGAAAACTCACAAACTCTTTTTTATTATCAAATCATTTTACAAAAATATGCCTGTTTAACAATAATTGTTAACAGATACGAAATTCGAAGTTGACTTTGGAAATCAAAACTCAAACTTTTCTTTTGTGGTTGATATTTGTTCAATGAAATATCAGGCAACAAATAAAGTAGTTGTTACAATAGGATTGTTCAGTTCCACTTGTTACATGAATATATATATATATATATATATATATATATATATATATATATATATATGTAAATATATATATATCAGTGTAGTACTCACCATGGACTGACATCAGTTAGAGAAATACAGGAAACCTGGGATCATTGGACAGCTATTTCGTCCTATTGCGGGACTCCTCAGCAGTGCGCGCCCAGGGATAGAACCCAGCATGATCGCTAACTGAGTTATGGGCCCGCACTGCTGAGGAGTCCCGTACTACGATGAAACAGCTCTCCAGTGCTCTCAGGTTTCCAATGTTTCTCCATCTGATGTTAGTCCATAATGAATACTAAAGTGAAATGTACACTTCGTATTTTCGCAATGCTTAATACTTGTAGTAAAACCATTTTGGATGTTTATGGAGACTGATTAATTTTTTATGGTAGTATGCATCAGCGACTAACATCATCTAGAGATCTACTGAAAACCTAAGAGCAGTGAACAGCTGTCCTGTCGTAGCATAGATCTGATCAGCCGTACCCACATACTACTCCTCTAGTGACAGAACCCAGGACTATCAGTTCTCGTTGCCATTTAGCTACTGGCTCAGAATCTAGTCGTCCACATTTTTCTACTTCTGTCAATCCGAAATATAGCGTGACGATCATTCAGTGCCACCGGCAAATATCTGGCTTCCCAGCCGACTTGCTTGACCTCACAGGTTACGAATTCTTATACAGCTCGAAACATGTAACTAACCAGCACTAAACAATAATTCATTCTGGAGGTTTGTAGGGATTGATTGATTTCAAGGTGGTTTAGCTCTAATGATGACTTTGACATAACTCTAAGTGTATATTTTTCAAATTCAATACCTACTGTGATTTTGACATACTGAAGTAGTGGAACTGTATTAGAATGGGGTATATTTCTTTAAATTAACTGCATACCTCCAACATGTTATATCTTAGTGGCCTTTTCTTTTTCGTATCCCTTCTCATACAGTTCGCTGCATTATTTCAGAATATACTAGGATGCACCTGAACACTAATTTGTCTTAATATTTCAGTTAACCGGTTAAAGATATCTGTCAGCTAACTTATGACATGTAGACTCAGTCAGTCATCCAGTTGGTATCAGTACGCTGAAGAATGGTACAGTCAGCAACACATTAAAATAGAAAACAATAAGGTAAAGCAGAACAAATTAGAAATGGTAAGGCTGGAATCCGTAGGAAGATAAAAGACAAAAACAAGAAGGGCTAAAGCTGACAATGAGATGTACCATAACTACTAAGATCAGCATAACATGTGGTTGCCTTTGTTTCAATTAAATCATTTTGAAGGCATATCACTTAGGTAACCTGACCATTGGACTTGGTTATCATGTTGACACCAACTTAACAGTCAATATTTCCTTGTATGACGCAGACCGACAGTCAGTTACCTTATGAATTCATGCCAAGTTTTATTTTGCCCACACTTAGTCTTTTTCCAAATTACTTCAGCTTCAGTTGATATTGAATATCGGCGTAGATAATGCATTAGCACATGTAAAACAATTCTAAACCAGCTCAGTCGATGAGTGTTAATAACTTTGCCAACTGGCCCACCGCTGTTATCTTGAACGGCACGTCTATCTTATGTGAAGACTAGTAATAAAGTATTCAAAAGAAATAAAAACGCAACACAAAACAAATGACAGCTCTTGTAATTGACTGATCATAATAATACCCATTGCGTGATGCCTGGCCAAACCACATACCTCATTTCTTAAACTTAAGTAGGCAGAGTAGGATTAGAATCTATCAGCTTACTGGATTAAGAACAGACGTTTTTCCCAGAATGATTTATGCAGAACTGCCTTGAGCACATATAGAAACGCATACTACCATTCATCCTATATAATATATATATATATATATATATATATATAAACTGTTCAACGATTGAATTTTACTAACTGCCTGTCTCTTCTGTCTTTTTATATACCTATTCATTTTTAAAATCTTATTTTAGTGTACCTATAATGACTGAAACAATAATGGCGTTACCAACGAAACTCCTTACCACTGAACCACTATTAACTGTTGAAGAGTTGTGCTGCAAACATTTTCTTCGACTGTGTATAGAATCGTTTATTTTATATTATTTAAAATATTTAGATGAAATTATGAAAACTGTTAACGATGATGATAATGTTATGCAATTCAAGGAGATTTAAAAAATCTGGCAGATTGATTCGACTTACTTAAATATAACTATTATTTCTTAATTAAAATATTCGTGGTATGTGAAGAAAAAGAGATGATTTCCCTCCAAGTATTAAAGCATTCAATACTAAAGGCAATTTCTGGATATATATTAGTTGCTTAAGGGACACTTGAATGTGCCAACTAAAAACAACAGTAGAGGAGGGGGATAATTTCTGACAAGTTTTATGTTTCTACAGAAAGAGTAAAATCACTTTCTTCGATGTTTCCCTTAAGGATGTCAATCAGTCATTAGAACTTTATTCTGATCATATCCAACTCTCAATCTTTCGGACTATCTCAGATAACTGGATTCCACTGCTAGCCACTATCCATCATTAGTATCGAAATTGAAAATATAGGTAATATCGAGGCATCCATGCAGGAGTCCATATGCCAATAGAAATCGATCAATTCGGTCCACTCAACGACGGGATAATACAAGCAACAACATTAAAAACTCTACTTGCCGCACTAAAAGTGGTTATTATTACTTGGTGGTTTAGTGGGTAACGTTCTGGCATTTGAAGCGATCTGTCCGAAGTTCAAGTTCTAGTGGGAACAACATTGCCGACTGGAAGGCAGGTAAATCCAGCTGACGAGTCCCAAATAGGACGACACACTCGTCTAAACTGGATTGCACTGCTAGCCGCTATCCATCATTATTATCTTAGATAACCTTTTGCTAAATAGGCCCAGATATATAAAAAGTGAGATTAAGGTTGGAATATCAATCCCAAATGTAGCAAAACTGTAACCGGGATCCTATGTGCTAACAGCACGATGCTCTATAGTCTGACCAATGAGAGTGCAGCTGCTAACGAATTCGCAAGTTTACTTAAGTCGCTATGAGTCTCATCCAGCTGTTATATGAATAGTTGATCCATAAATATCATTTCATCGTCATGCCAGCTACCTAAGAAGCACTTCTAGCCCTAATCCTAGTCAAAATGAATTCGAGAGAATCAATGACACAGTGACTGTTGAAAAGACCATCTGAGAAAGCACCGATTGGCAGACAGATAACTATATAGATTCAGTTAATGACCAAAGTTAAAAAAGATGGAGCATTGCCAAATTCAAAACCTCGCCTGGTTAACTAGTTCACTAGTTACTAGCCGGTCCTAAGCCCGGGTATACAGGGAAGGTTCGGCATAGGGCTAGCAACCCTACCCCGTAAAACAAATCTAACCGCTAAAGAAACTTCAAAGCACAAACAAAATATAAAAAAATGAAAACAAACTTATTCCTCGCTGGAATCAGAGAGATAAAATGACGCCAGTTGGTGAAAGCCTTCAGAACGCCAACTGGCCGGTGTGTCTTCTCCCTCTCGATGAAAGCGAAAGTAAGACTGGGGACATGAAATGTCCGCACCATGTTTGAACCTACCAAGGATGCCCAGATTCCCAAAGAATTGGGTAGTATGGCATAGAAGTGCTTGGAAACTGGAAAAGTAGATGGAATGGAAGTGGACTCTCCAAACTGTCAACTGGAGAGGAGTCGATAATCTACTCCGATATTGTCACTCAGATGACAACCACGAGCACACTGAGGGAGTGGCTATCATGATGTCCCCAAGAGCATCGAAGGCTCTCATGAAGTGGGAACCAATCTCCTCCTCCAGGATCATGACAGCAAGGTTCAACTCAAAAGGAAGGAAAGTCACAATCATACAATGCTACGCTATACACCTACAAATAATGCAGATGAAGAGAAGAAGGAGGAATTCTACAGACAATTGCAATCAGTAGTGGACAAGACCCCACACTAGATGGCGACATCAAAATTCTAATGGGCGACATGAATGCCAAACTGGGAGTGGACAACACAGGAAGAGAACTAACCATAAGTCGAGAGGCGCTAGGTGAAATGAATGAGAATGGAGAATTGTTTGCAGAATTCTGCGCATTCAACGATTTGGTAATTGGAGGCAGTGTGTTCAGGCACAAGGATATCCACAAAGCGACATGGATTTCACCAGACACCAGTACACACTAAAAATCAAATCGACTTTATCTCAATCTCAAGAAAATGGAGACGCAGTCTACTTAACACAAGGTCAAGAAGAGGAGCAGATGTACGTTCAGACCACTCACCATCTGGTGCAAGGAACCTTCAAAATCAAGTTAAAAGCCTTCAAGGAAGCTGGTGATAGACCTCAATTCAAGTACAACACTCGGAAACTGAAGCACGAAACTACAAAGGAGATCTTCAAGGCAGCCATCAAGACAAAATGGGAGATATCCAGCAACATCCCTGAAGAAACCTGTGTGGAAGAACACTGGAAGTCTTTGAAAGCTATGTGGAAAGAAACCTGCACAGCCGTATTAGGAAGGAAGAAGGTGGAAGACAAGGAATGGATCTCGACGGATACCTGGAAGCTGATAGAGGAGAGGAGGATGGTGAAGCAGAAGATGAACCAGTGCAAGGATGCTCAACGACAAGAGGAACTGAGCACAATGTATAAAACACTGGATAAAGAAGTGAAGAAGAGTGGGCGCTATGACAAAACACACTTCTAAGACATTCTGAAAGGTGAAGAAGGACAGGCTACAGGTAAGAGAGACCTGACAACATTACACCAAATAACTAGGTTACTATCTGGGAGAGGAGAGATCAACACAGATGAAACCAATAAAAGATGAAGAAGGAAATTTAATTACTAAAGAAGAGAAACAAAATAAACAATGGGCCGACCACTTCAAGAAGCTCTTGAATCGACCACCACCACCTGCACTTCGTCCAGAAATACCACCTGCAGCTGCTGAATTACAAGTGAACATAAATCCTCCAACGAAAATGGAAGTCCTGAACGCCATAAAGCTACTGAAATGCGGGAAAGCAGCAGGACCAGACGGGACACCACCAGAAGCACTGAGAACAGATGCAGAGACAACAGCAGACATGCGCACACCACTATTGCAGAAGGTGTGGAAGGAAGAGAAGGTACCTGCCTATTGATTGGAAGAAGGGTTACCTTGTCAAACTGCCAAAGAAGGGAGACCTCAGTGTTTGCAAGAACTGGCGCGGAATCGCTCTCCTATCCACCCAATGCAAGTAAAATATTAAGCTGCATCATCCTGGAGAGGCTTAAAGACGCACTGGATTCAAAACTACGACCGGAACAGGCAGGCAGGCTTCAGGAAGTACAAATCATGTGCAGACCAAATTGCAACGCTTCGCATCATCATAGAACAGAGCATAGAATGGCAATCAGCTCTCTACCTCAACTTCATCGACTTTCAGAAGGCCTTTGACAGCGTCGACCGAGAAGTAATTTGGAAACTGCTTCACTACTACGGAGTACCGCAAACCTTTATCCGCCTCATTCAACAACTATATGAAGATGCCACATACCAGCCAAGTAATTCACAATGGAAAGCTGAGTGATGCTTTTTAAGTGAAGACAGGAGTGAAACAAGGTTGCCTACTATCCTCCATGATATTTCTGATTGTGGTGGACTGGATCATGCAGCAAACAGTGGGCAGCGAGAAGAGGGGGATACACTGGACGCGGAAAAGAACCTAGAAGACTTGGATTTCGCCGATGATGACTTGTGCCTGATGTTACACAAACTTGAAGATCTACAGGCGAAAACTAACAAGCTGACAGAAAAGGAAGCGAAGAAGGGACTTCAAGTGAATATAGAGAAGACAGAGGTGATGAAGATACCGCACCAACAATAACAAACTCCAGCCACCATCAACGGGAGAAACTTAAAGGAAGTAACCTCCTTCAACTATCTAGGAAGCACTGTTTCAACTACAGGTGGCGGGACGGACGAGGACGTCAAAGTCAGAATCGAAAAGCAAGACAGGCGTTCATTGGCCTGAAACCAGTGTGGAGATCTTGTGCATTCAGTATGCGGAGCAAGATACGGACTTTCAACACCAACGTCAAGTCAGTGCTTCTGTATGGTTCAGAGACTTGGCGCGTCACGAAAGGGATTTCCAATAAATTACAGACATTCATCAACAACTGCTTACGCTCGTTACTGAAGATCAGATGGCCAGAAAGAATAAGCAACAAGGAACTCTGGACTGCCGACGAACCAACCAAGAACCTATCATACAACAAATATGCAGGAGGAAGTGGAGATGGATTGGGCAAACAGTGAGAAAGCCGACTGGGGACATCACGCGTCAGGCCCTGGAGTGGAATCCCCATGGGAAGCGACGAGTTTGACGTCTGAGGTGAGGGTGACATGGAGGAGGTCGTGCGAGGAGGAAATGAGAGGTTGTGGGCTGTCGTGGAACCAGGTTCAAAAGATCTCAGAGGACAGAGTTCACTGGAGACGTGCTACTGAAGCCCTATGTTCCACTAGGAACCCAAGGGACTAATAATAATAATAATAATAATAATAATAATAATAATAATAATAATAATAATAATAATAATTGCTAAATTCAAACCAATATTCTTCGTTTTACCATCATCCAAGAATTCTGTAAATTAACCTGCTAAAGTCAACGGTTAACCAGGTTTCAGATTTGCTTAAATCGCCCACATGATTATCGCTCAGTATGGAATGATAGGGAAAATAAAAGGCATTTAGTCACCTTCTGTTCGGCCGTACAGTAAGGAGAGAGTCACACCTATTGTTTGAGGGCAAGTAACACTATGTGGCTGCCCAAACCTCGGTAGAGGGAACTGTGCTCGAACCCGTGACCCAATGGTGAATAGTCATCTCCCTAAATCACCGAGCCACAGCTGCACGCATCGAATCAACTGTGGAAACAACACGGTGACTGAAAATACTTCGAAGTGTATTAAAAGAGCGAATTTCGTACCTTGCATCTACCAGTCTGTAATCTGAAGAGTGTGATTTCAAAAAGTTGCTAACGTTTACCTCCTACTTTTAATGACTGTCCTCGAAAATTCATTCAAAAAGTTTTAAAAAAGTGGAAGTAGTAATGCCGGGTAAGACTGTAACACGACTAATAGGGAATATAAGCATACAGATTAAACTAACCGACACGGGAATAGAAACATAACTAGACTTAAAATAC